AAGATTTCATTAAATTTGCTATGTTAAAATTAATTGTGCATCACATGCATAATCTTGCATTGGTTGCTCCTACAGTGAGAGACAGGGAAGTCTGTAGATGAATGGAAGAAGAAATGAGAGTAAGCTGGCATATTTGTTTTGAAAGAAGCCCATTAGCCAGAAAGGAAGAGTAAATTCATTTTTCCTGGCTGAGAAGGGGACACCTGAATCACACTGACCAAATACACCATAAAAGATCAACAAGAGTAACTGGGTTGCTCTAACATGAAACTATTCGGAGTGAACTATAAAGAAGAAGAATTAAAGTAAGCCAGATTTGTTTTCTAAAAGATCAAGAAGAAACCTATGGATGTGTTCCTTAGGGAAATACGAAATAGAAATAGTTGTTTCTCATCAGAGTACCACAGAGAAGTTACTACTTGCTGGGCATGGTTCTAGGAGCCTTGCATACATTAATGCTGTTGGGGAGAAAGTTTCAATATGTGCTCGAATAATAAGCAGGGTTATGATGATCGCCACACACATACTTGTAACCTAATTAAGATTATACAATATGGTTGACAAAACTGCAGGAAATTTTCAACCTGGCAGATGAAAAGGATATTTCTATAGTACAAAACTTCAAATACGGAGTAAGAATTAATGATAATAGATTAGAAAGATCTCGACATAAAGTTCTGCAAGTTTTAATTACACTTAAACATACTCCTTAAAATTCTAACTTGCAAAGGGAAACAGGAATTCATGCAATAGAGTTGCAAATTAGAAAATGGTAAGAACTTCTGCGTGAATCAACATTTGCACTAAACATATAAATCACTACATTTTTCAAATAAGAAAAGTACAGACTAGTCTTACCTTATTGTTGCAAAAGGCTGGAATAAAAATTACTTATAGAAGTAACTTTCACATGTATCTGAACATCAAACACAACACACAATATAAAATCAAAAATAACTAGAACAGAAAAGTTTTCAGTCTGACCTTAAAAATACTGAGCAAATCACTAGATGAAACCAGATCAAAAGGAAGGGCATTACACCAGCTTGTAGCCAGATGTGGAAGGGTCCCTGACTACACAGGGCACAGATGGTATAAAATGGGGCGGGGGGGATGCAAGAAGATCCAAAACATAAGGCAAATAAACCTGGTTCAACTTATACAGGTAAGATTTCTCTGAAGAATGAATAACTTTCAAGGCAACTGATAAGACTTTAAATTTGGGACAAATGGTACTGGATGTCTCAGGCTGAAGAGAGCACACTAGTCCAAATTTGATATTCTTTTGTATAATATTCAAATGAAATTAAATTCATGATACATGAAATATTACAGTGACTTGTTAAAAGGAAATACTAAGAAGATGATATTAACAATTTTAAAACAGAATCATAAAATCATTAAAAGTCACACAACCTGATTAAAGTCTCAGAAATCTGGGAAGAATTTAGTGAATGCTCACAAAATAAATAAGTGCATTTGAAAACAGCAACTCTACAAGTTTATTAAAATAACAGTGTAAGCCCTTTAATGCTTCCAGTTTAAAAGTGTTAAAAGAAAACTTTTTACCTTCTTAAACCATTATCAAAATTACTTTTTCCATACATAAAAAAGATTATAGGTACCATTAATTTCAACAGAAAACTCAGAAACACTCATATTTACTTTAGTCTTATTTCTGTAATGCAAAGTTTTCCATTTAATAAAACTCAAAGAAATACTTGTTCCAAAAGTTCAAGAAAAATTCTCTGATTTCAATATTAGAAGTAAAAAATGGAAATCCTGCATTTCATTAAATAATTTGACAACTTTTTTTAGGCAACAGTCAAACAAAAACATGAACACAAATTCCTATAGCCTCATGATTTCTGAAGGACACAGAGCTTAGAATATCCAAAGTCTGTATTATTGGATATTCTAACAAGGCACATTCAACACACACATATACAATGGGATTCTAATTTTCAGTAGCAATGATGAACAAAAAAATACTGACTTTACAATGGCTTCTGGTTATCATTCACATGGTTTAGCGAATAATTATTTCATTTTTGACACTTTTGTGTATTAAAAGAAAATTCCTCTAGTTTAGTAACAGTTTTGCTAAGCTACATTTAGAAGGTGACAATTAATTTTAGTGGAAATTCATTCCCAGGCTACTTTGATAGTCATCTGAACAGTTTTGTGTTATTTTACATGCAATTTTATAGCTCTGTAACATTCATTTAATCTTGTTCAATGATGCTGAACCCCAGATGCCATAAGACATTATAGAAAAGTAGTTACTGCACATATGGAGTAACTACTTTTTCTGAACATTAATTTCTTTTCTCTTAAGAGAATAAAATGGTATTTATAAAAGAGAAAAGCCACAACTCTGTATTAAAGATTACATTATGGACTTCCAGAGGTGGGCTACTGATGACTGCCATGGTCCTAGCCATAAAGTTCTTATTTATGAGCATCATTTATGAAGTCTTCATGATAATGGTTTTATCTAGCTTTCATAAGATTATTGGTGCTATACATTCAAATCAGGGTATTTGAGAGAGCTCAGGGGTGAGGGGATTTCCTCATCTGTCGTGTAGGGGTTGGATATAAGCAGGGATTCTCAGTGAGATCTGAGAACCACTGGCACTGAGGCACTCTTAACATTGCAAATATTTGGGCCACCCAGATCTAAGGGAGGTGGAGAAATGTGCATGACAAGTAAGCACCGCAGTAATTGTTCTGTGTGTTAAGGGGCAAAAAGTCCCGGAAGATGATCTCAAATGTCCCTTCCACTCTCACTTTCTAAGTTTCTCAGTATTTTACAAACTGAGTCAGGTCAGCACCATCAAACATGGTGATTTAGGGGCATTAGGGGTTAACTAAATAAGCCCTCTTAAATCTTGATGCCTATGTAAAAAGTAATAGACAGTAAACTCAGAGCAGTATAATCAGATGGGTGAGGAATCTATTTGGATATTTCTTTTCCTGCATGAAATAGTGGGGGCGGGGATCTAATTGCTACATAGGAGCACAGATTCTGTGGGACTTTTCTCTGCATGTCACTTCCTATATTTTTCCTCTTTACCTCTGACCCTCCTGGCTATTTAGGTAAGAATGCAAGCTGTTCACTATCCTGAGCCACCAAACTCTGAATTGTAATTGAGCTCAACATACTAAGAAGTAAGCAATATACAGGCAGTCCTCTACTTCGATTTATAATGAGTGAAATTATATAAAGAAATAGGAAAGGTAAAGAGATTTATTTTTTAAAGAAGTTTTATATTCAGAAAACTAAAAAGAAAAAAATCAAATTTTTATTAACTTTGAGCACACTACTTGGTAAAATATTTTCCGTATTTCTATCTGTAAGTTTGTTTTCTTTGTTTGCAACTGCTTATAGGGACGAGACCCTAGGGACTGATTTTTAAAAGCCTGTCTGATGAGTTCTATCTCTGATACATTTTTATTAGATGAATGAGTGCTCACTGTCTATCACTAAGTATAAGACTTACACCTTCTAATCAAATTTTGATAAACTCCTAAGAGCAAAATGTGATAGGATCTTCATTCCTCAAACTTAGCTGGAGAGTCTGCTGCTGGTCTAGAACTGTTGCCTGGAATGCAGCGCCACCACGTGCTCACTGTGAATGTTGTCAGGTTTGTATCAGTACAGAAGCTGGGCTCCTCCAAGATGGCAAAGCCCTCTTCCTGCGGTATTATGGTTATTTCTGAACCCCAAACCTAATAGCACTTCAGTCCTCAGTAGTAAGTGGCAGAGAACAAGTTGCTGGTTATAGGAGAGCTATGACCAGAATTGGATCAGACATTCAGTGCTGGCAAGGGAAGCTTGTCAGTGAGCTTAGGTTGGTAGACATGAGGATTTTTCCTATAGGGAAGCCTAAGCCAGGGTATAGCTCACAGACCAATGCCCAACATGTTGCTTGCTATCCCTATGCCCCTCACAGAGAGACAAGTTCAGTCAAGGCTTAGTTATGGAATATTGTGTCTATTGAACCCATAAAGTTTTTTCAAACATAAAGTATGTGAATAGTGCATGGTGGAGAGACCATTTAATGTAGAGGACAGGGTAAGGTGGGCAAGGAACTGAACCTTATAGATTACTGGATCAGGTTCTCCTTTTCATGCTTGTTCTTTACCAACTATACCATGAATGTAACAGCAATATTATATTAAATGTACATATTCTGCTATTTCAAAAATGAGGGAAATTTGAAGTGAAGGAGAAAAATCTTAGGCAACTGATAAGACATTTCAGAAAATGTTTACAAACATTTCAGAAAATGTTTCAAACATTTCAAACATTTCAGAAAATGTTTACAAAAAACAATCGACAGGCTTCATGGATAAGCTTTAAGGGATATTATTCGTTCTTATTTAATGGATGAAACTTTCCCAGCGTAAGCAAGCACTTATGATATAGCAATCAGGGGAATGATGGGAGGAAAAGACGCATAATAGCTTCAATCAGATTTCCTGGATCTGCCTCACAGAACCTGAGGAATTACAAGGTGAGAGAGTGAGCTCTTTGGTTTCTGCAGGAGAACACAAAGCTGCCTAGGAAAGACTTGGCTGGAAGGACCTGGATTGTACAGGAAGTTCGTACTTTCTCCAGCCCTGGCCATGAGGGGTGGACTACCCTTACAGTCACATGCCCCAAAAAAGATTTCCTCCTATCTCAAAGAGCATTAGTTTCTTTAATCTAAGAAGGTAATGAGAGGTTTTAAAACTGATTAAATCAGCTTAGTTCATACAAAGTCTGTTATGACTAAATATTCAATTAAAGAAATTTTTAAAGCAAAATCTGACAAAATCTACTCTTCAAGTAATTTAGATGATAGGTTCTTGACATGAGGCAAATTAAATCCTCCTCACAGCTGGTATTTTCCAAAGGGTCAAAAACAGTTGCAGAAGTTCGTGGGGACAAAATCTACTGTGTGAGCTTGTCAGGTTCTATGATCATAAACAATAGAAACTAGAAAGCATTAATGTGAACTTGATATTCCTATTTATTTAATTTTATTTTTAATTCAAAGTCTTCATACATGCAAAAGTTGAACATGTCATCACAAATGCTTTAAATAACGTTCAAAAATAAAAATTTCTCAAAATTCACTTACTTGTGGAAATATATATGACAATTATTATAAAGTCGACTATATCCTTTTTTCTAATCTACCAGAAAAATATTTATACTACAAAAAGAAATTTCAATTCATGTCCAGAATAATTGTATTAAATTCTTGAGAAAAAAATTTAAAACAAGTTAAATGTTTAAAGAAATATACATTGCTCAGAGAAACAAGTACCAGGCTTTTACAAAAGGGACCCTATATCTTTAGACCTCATTTTGAAACTGCTAAAGAAACAAGTATAGAAAAAAATTTTTTTAGAATTATGATTATTCCTGTGGTTGATATGATTAATAATTCAATGTAAGGGAACAGCTCTTATGAAGAGATATTGTTGGAAGTCATTTACAAGGTTTGAAAGGAAAACTTCATTTACAAACATATGTAGGAGGCATGGAATAGTTTTGCCTCTTTCTACTGTTCAACGCTGCGAGAGGAATTTAAAATTCTGGGTGCAAGGACATTCTAAATACATCGTTCTTTTGAGAAATGTGTAAGTGCACACAAACCCCAGTGACTCCAAAATAAGAAAACAGGAGGAGGCATCTCCAACAGTTCTGCTCCTTCTTAGGTAAACGTACCCAGAAGGTTGGCAAAGTCAAGAAGGGGACAAGGCACATTCTGAGTGATCTTCATGTTCCAGAGGGTAGCCATTTCCTTCTATTAAAACCAGGACTTCTTTGGCAGTGTAACACTATGCATATAAGCAATTCCAACAATTAATATGAACAGGAGGTATTCCAAGTTCCACTTTGAGAATGATCACAAGCATCTTGGAAATGAGATTTGACTTCTTGCTCCTAACATGAAATGGAAGGGAACTCTGCCTAGGTTGGAGAAGCTCTGATTATCAGAAATGACGTAATATGAGCAGGAAAGAGCAATCATTGAACAAAATGGGTTAGAATTGATTTGCAAAGTTCTAAGTGGGTAAGCATACCCAAACTTTGAAAGTTTAATTCAAATAACTAAAAAATAACATCTCTTCTTGACATCAGAAATTCCAAGTTTCCTACTTGGAGAAATCCATGGCTACGATGCTAAGACTTCCCCTGAAAAGGTCAAATCTAGAGTTTTCTAAGAAGTATTTCCACAGAGGGAACAAGGACCTAGAGCTTGATCCCGATACTAAACTTTGATGATAGTTTTTATGTTAGCCAAACCAAATATTTTCCTTTTATCACTAAAAATGATTTTGTAAAGGAAAAATAACAAGATATGTATGCTGTCAGTGCAAAATCAGGTTAAATATGGTTTTTCTTTCCCCTGGGATAGAAAAAACAATGCCCAGCTCACAGCACACAGAAATGTGTCACAACAAATAACCAGAAGACAGGTTTTTACCAAGCCAGTATTTCTCCTGGTACAATGTGGTTTCAAAAGCAGGACTGTCATGGTTATGCATATTCTCATTAAATAGGTACAGTAGAGCTACTGAAAGGGAAACCCAGTTCTTGTGCTTCAGTGAAAGAGGAGTGTAGAAAACAATAATTAGCCTGAATAAGGAATTTTAAAGGGAAAAAATCTGCGTGAATAGAACAGAGAATTTAGAAATCTAAAATATATATATATTTTTTTTTTAAAAAAGCAAGTAATATGACGGTAGAAACCCACATAATCACCCCCCGCCCCACCTGCCACTTTGAGTCCTAATTGCCCAATCTGTAAGCACAGAAACCCACTCTAAATGGACCAGCATCGGGCTTCGGCAAGTCTTCTCTTCACTCTCCCTCCTGTTAAGACCGTTTCCAAAACCAATCAGCAAAGGACAAAGAATTCTTTACAGAGTGCAATTAGTGTTTTCCACGTCCACCTTCAAAAGCATGATGCTCTTCATGGGCTAAAGGACAGAAAAAAACAAAAAAGAAAAAAAGGAAAGAAAACTTTAAGCAAAAGATGGGCCAACCCTCCTCTAGGCATCTCATTCAGCTTCCCCAAATCTTGGCAAGAACTCAAATACCTTTTTTGCCAGTAACTGTTAGCTAAGGCGTGCATTTCCTGAGAAACGTAATAATGAAAATTAAAACAAGGAATAAACAAGCAATGGGCATGCTGCCTGTTTCTTCGTGCTGTGCTGGAAAGATCCTCACAAGCTGATGAAGAGAATATGTTGGGCTTCAGGCAAATGCTGCAGGCAAGTGCACCCCACAAAATCCATGGGAAAAGGGACCTATCTTCCCAGGCCAGAGCTGCTCACAAGCCTATCTTCAATAATAAAGAACACAAAAATAAAATAAAATAAACAAAGAATCACAGAAGACTGATAAGAACTATACTCCCCTCCTCTCAACAACTTCTGTGGGAAATTAACTTTCATAAAAGCGATGGGTCTTTTATTTTTCCCAACTACACCCCATAGGGATTTTCAGCCTGATTGTCTGGCTTGTAAAATTGCTGATAATTAGGAAATTTAGAATAAAAACATTATGCCATAAAAATATTTTTAAAGACTTTTAAAAATGTAAGTGGAAGACAGGAAGTGGGAGACCTATGAAACAGAACATTTCTTCCGAGGCAATGGCCAAGTTTGAAAATCTACTTCCTGGACTTGGTGAACCATCACTATGAAGCAAGGTCTGATAAAGCCTGAGGAGAGTTAAGAGCCTACATGCTTTGTCCCCATGTCACTGGCAGTGGATGTTGCTCTAGGAAGTCACTGATGGATGGGCCCATGTCACCTTGGAAGCCCTTCCTCCCTCTCGGTTTTCCATATGGACTAAATTGTTCACACTATTGCTGAGTGTTTTTTGAGATCACCTTGCAGTATATTTCACCAGAGCTCTTCATTTGGATAAACATCAGGAAAGATGTGCCTCATAACTCCCAGTTTGAGTTGGTCAAATTCCTTAGGGTGGCCTAAATCTGACCTAATCTAATCACACATTTCTAACAATTAAAATTACAAGTATTTCACTTTGTTTTTGTCTTTCTGTTTTTAAGAACAATGTTTTAGGGCTGACATTAAGAACGAAAAACAAACAAACAAATGAAAAAACATTGATTGGGAAAATGGGTGTGGTGACATATACCTATTGTGTCAGCACTCTGTGAGGCTAATGCAGGAAGATGGAAAGTTAAGAGTCCAGCCCGGGGAATTTGGTAAGATATTGTCTCAGAATTGGAAAAAAAAAAAAAAAAAAGCTGGAGAAGGTTCAAAATTTTTAAAAAAGCAACCTTGTGCTGAAGTAAAATACATTACACTTCAGGGTCAGGAAGAGGAGCCACAGAATGATACCTGTGTTGTTCTACAAATTATAAATCCAGAGACATGAGCTATCCATGCATTTTTATTACTTTTGGGTGTGAGGCATAGTTTGGGGCAACCATTACTGAAATACTGCAAGGTTTGCAGGCTAAGGAGTGGTACAGACTACTCAAAACCACCTTGTCTGAGTACCAGGGGGCAATTTGCCAGCTCAGGGAAGTGCTGTAGGAAAAGAATGGAGAATGTCTGCTAAGCCAGGAGGCAGCAGACTTTGTCTGAGAGTAGCACCTATTGTAGTACTAAAGTAGACATAGAAAACAGAAATACAAATAGGCATTTCTATACGCCAGTATAACTTTACTGAGTTAGGAACATAGCTCAGTGGTAGAACACCTGCCTATTGTGACAAGGTGCTGGGTTCCAATCCTAGCATCAGAAGAAAAAATTATTTATGAGCACTGAAATTTGACATTCAAAGTGTTATCTTGTTTTACAACATATAGTTCTTCTCTTAAAAGTTTTCCACTATTTAAATATTAAAAACTGTACTTTATTGTACCCATGCAAAAATAGGTGAGGAAGGAAGGAGAGAATGGAGCAGGGGAAAGATTTGGCTTGAGGTTCTTCATTTTTTAACTCCTCTAAACAAAACATAGGGAAAGACCTTTGTAATTCAGCTGCTCTGAAGAACTTAATGGAACTGGTATGTGCGTGTGTGCGTGTGTGTGTATATGTGTGTGTGTATTCTGACTTTCTCACTCAAATATTTAGTGTGTATTGAAACCACATAACTTATAATGGCCCAATTCTATCCAGCTACTGGATGCCACGACTGAATATGCCAGGATTATTTCTACATGGAAAGTCTACAGTCGCCTAGCTTCTACAAACTTGTGAATACTTACACCAGGATGCCATTAACAAGACAAAATAAAAGCACGAGTTGGCCATTTCTAAATCATGCTGTGAAATAAATTTCTGACCAAACCACACTTCTCTAAAATTACTCTGCAGCACATGGTATATAACCCTGCTGAGTTATATATAGACTGCCTGCTTTATGTAAAATAAGGAAAATGGCTTGTTTTTCCCAATTCAAAATTTTACTTCAATAATCTTTGAGTTTTTAAATGTTAATTTGTGCCATTAAAATATGATTTCTGCTGAGACCTGTTGTCATTACTCACAAATCTGAAAATGGCATATACCTTTAGGGTGTCTATTCAGCTTGATTCAACTGGCCAAGTTGAAACTTTCTTCCTATTTGGTTTTTTTTCTCGCCTTTCTTCCCCACAGCTACCACAATAACTAAGTGCTGAATCATTATTCTACCGTTGGTCCGTTCTACCTGACATATAAATGGCCCTAAAAAAAGTTGCCTAACCACTGTGTGGCCTAATTATTCAACACAACACTTATATCATGTTAAACTGCTGCTAACCAGTGTGCATGACGGAAATTTATTCATAGAATCCTGAAGTGGAAGGAACTTTGGAGATCATCTAAGACCAACTTCCTCAATATTAGAATGAGAAAGGACAAGCCACTGTGACATGTGTTTAAGTTCACACTGTTGCAGTGGACAGAAGTCCAGAGTGCCTGACTTAATGAATCCAACTGCATTTCTCCTCCTGGAGTCAAGTGCGGGACTGCCTCCAAAGGGGCAAGGAAAAACCCACTTAGAAATGTCGATGAATCACATTTCCTTTTGTAATTAATATCTGAGGGGAATACAATTAATATATCCCTAAAAAATAAAACTGGATCAACAAATTTCAATTTCCACACTGCACATTCCATAACCAACATATGCAGTGCTGTCTCTCCACCTTTTTATTTAAACTTTCGCTTAAAATTCAGAGGATCAGTGTCTCCTGATGACTGCAGGCCAGATCAGTCTCCGTGTGTAAAATCTGAATCACTGGCTAGAGATTGTGTGAGGCCCTACAGGGACGCCTGCGTTTTCATATCTGCTAGTATACTATGGCAATTGTGAAACAAAATTTGATTTTTTAAGTCCTATGTTGGCAAGCAGTTGAGAAAAGTGAGGCATTAATGTAACTCATTTTAGCAATTCTAAGATGTTGCCTGCCTGCGCTACCTCCCTTGTGTATTTAAAGACCTTTGATAACTAATGTTTATTTTCTTTTTCTTTCTTAGTATTACTAAAATAATGGGGCATCTTATCATCAAGGACAACTTCAATTTGATGAAATACCATACTTTTAAAAAATGGATTACTGACTTCAGGTGCAGTTTGGGATACAGGAAATTTATTACATCTGTAGGGCAGTCAATCCCTTGCCGAAATTCAGTTAAAAGTATAACCTGAAGCATGATCCACCAAACATTGATTTAACAGTGCTAAGATGTTTTCATTATGAAAAAAAAGATGATTTTTTTCAAAAGAGCACACAAAAGCAATGAACATGAATCATGACGGAAACAATGGGTCCACACACCTATTCATACTGTTAACATTTCACCACAATGCATGAATTCTCTTTAGATTCTGTGTCACAGGCATCAGTAATGAGGAAGTATTAGCATTTCAGTAGAACATTCAATCATGCCTGTGCTCTGAATGAGTTCTTCACAAATACAGATGTTATACATTATAAACTTCTGTTTATGAAGGGATGATTGAATATCTACCTGCCAGCTCACATAATGACATTTTTTGTTATTGTTGTTTCCAACAGAATGTAATCTATTTTTTTTCTGAGAAATACAAATTTAAGTTCAGGTTCAAATTTTTGAAATACCAAATACAATGTGAATTTTCTTTTCTGATACACAAGATTAGGCAAGAATAAAATCTCGCTTCAATTTCTGAGACTTAACTTTAAAAAAACACTTAAATGTGTTTTATTTCATTATTTTCTGAATTGCAGAATTTTAGACAATTGTGTCGTTACCTCATTTGCAACACAGTTTCTGTTTTTAAAGTATGATAGGATAAGCTAGGAAGTAATAACTGGAAATGAAGCACTTACGTTTATAAAACACAGCTTTAAAAGATATGTGGGGCAGAAGTTCATAGATCTTTTCTAACACAGTGGCTTCGCCCACTAATGAGGCATTTACATTCCAGACTTGGATGACGTCCTCACGGTCCCGGACACTGACGCTGACTCCTATCACTTCGTCATCTGAGGGAAAGATGGGAAAAAGAAAAAAATATGAGCCACAAGGTCAGGTCTAATTATTTTTAAGCACCTATTTATTTTATCTGGAGGTTGTGAATAAAATGGAAAAAAAGAAGATGGTGTGAAAACCCATAATAAATAATTCTCTGGGGAATCACTGGAAAAAAGCAAATCTGAGCACAAAAGCTGCAGCAATCACATCACATCTATCCAGGGATTTAGATAAACAAAGTGTTCTAGCCAAAGGCATTTTCCAGATAAGTAATTTTACCCTTTTAAACATGTTACCAAAGCTTTCTATTTCTTACTGTTTTGATGAGACCTTTTCTAAAATGGGTTGCATAATTCCCTGCCCTCTAAAGGCCAAGTGAACTTAAATGAACTTTCCTCGATGCCTGACAGTCTTCGTGAAGAACAGAAGAGTTTCTCCTGCCTTCTGCCAAGTTTCTGAAGACCTTGGGGGACTAGTGCCACTTCCCCCACTCTCACTGGATTCAGGCTGTGCATTCCCAGGTGCACATCTGCTTTTGGTACCCTGCTCTTTTCCTATTTGTTTCTCCTGTTCTGTGGTGCTTCCCTCTAGCAATCCTCTTCTGGTTGTATTAAACCATTGGCGAGAGAACCGAGGACCACCTCCCAGCACCATGGTAAGAGTTTCTGTCTTTTCAGTAAGGCTCCTTAAAGCATCTATTATCTCTGTATCTATCCTGATTCCTGTAGGCTTTGTCTTTTAAATGAAATTCTACATTTGAGGCTGCCTTGTGGAAACCCGAGGATGTGGCTGGCAGTCAGGGCTGTTGTACTGTTGTCTGTGCCCTTGTAGTAACTTTGTTTATACTAATGATCAGGAGTGCAGACTTCTGACTCCTGTGCTTTCACGTTCACGAACCATTAACGAAATAGGGTCAGCTTTCTGCACTTGCACCCTTGGCACTGGTAAGTAATAAGGGAAAAATAAGAATTACCAAAATTACATTTTGCTTTAGGTAGTATGTTTTGCCTAATTTGCTAGCATCTGTAAATCTAAATATTCATACCATTGGTATTTCCAGTAATTTTCTGGAGGTTAAAATATTTTGATGCTTGAGTGTGACTTAAATAAGAGCTCAGTTAATTCACTTAAATATTCATCACCACCAATTTACTCAAATCATCATCCTTTCTTCCTTCCATTCTCTCTTTTCCCCTTCCTTTTTAAATGAATTTGATCCTGGCTAAATGTGTGTGACTCCACACTAAATGACTCTAGTTATATAAATGTCCCAAAAGAAGCAATATTAGACTATGGTACTAGAAGTTGGATTGGTGGCCTCCTTGGGAGGAAAGGAAGGCGAGGGCAGATTCTGGGGGCCATGGAAATATACAGCACTTTGTCAAGTGTTAATAAATCCCTATCCATCTCATGTGTACTTTCCTGTACCTGTGTCACAGTAAAAACAAAAAGATCCCCACAAAACCCACACTGTGTCTGATCATGGCCAACTTCAAAAATTTATGTTATCAAGAAAAAATGCTTCAAGTATAGGTTTCTTATTTTTAAATTTACATTTAAAAATGTTTGCTCAATGAAAAAAAGTTTTTTGAAAAATTTTATGTAAACATAAAACCATCACATAAAGAGGGAGGCTTGCCAGGTGTGGGGAGTTGGGAACATGCCAGCAATCCCAGCACTTAGGAGGCTGGGGCAGGAGGACCCCTGTGAATTTGAGATCAGCTTGGGTACATAGTGAGTTCAAGGCCAGCCTGGACCATATAGTGAGACCCTGTTCCCTGAACCCCAGCCAAAGAGGGAGACTTTGAGTCAGTAGGTGAGGTAACTGATGGATCCTGAACACACTGAACTGTCATTTTTCCCCCTATGCCTTGGTTTTTGGTAATGAGGCTCTGCTAAGAGCATGGTGCTTGCACAGTGTCAAGGTAAAAAAAATCCCAACTCTTACACAAAGAAAATATGTAATATTCACAAGTGGAATCAACCAGCAAACATGGATGACTTTTGGGGAGAGGCAGCATAAAACAGGCAGGTAAGACAGGAAGAGTCATTGTTTACAGATGACAGAAATAAGGTCCAGAAATACTGGTTGGCTTGCTTCAAGTGGCAGCGTAAGTTAATGGGAGAGTTACTAGCCAACAGTTAACAGTTAATAGAGCAATTGTCTTCTTTACTCAATATTGGTGATTTATTACTACTTAGACTATTTCCTCTAGTTCTGGAGACACGAGCAATTCATACAGAAAACTTTCTCTCCTAGGGATTTATGTGTTTATAGTTATATAAAGGATACATTTTTGGCTGCATATTATAAAGTTGTTAATAACTCCCTATTGAAACAGAAAGGCTCTACGTTTTTTATTTTAAAGAAAATTAAAACAAAAGAAAACAATATTGGATTTCAAAAACGACAGCGGGAAATCAACAGTAGTCACTATAATGCACATTGTTATTCTCTAAATAGATGCTCAGACCACCAGATACAAGCATGCAAAATTAATCAAACGATACAAGCCCTAAGTTGTTTCTTTACTTCAGGAATTTTACTTCTGAAATTTCACACATTTCAGGTATGTGCCTTCTAATTTATTTTATGTCTGTGTCTCCTGAACTTGTTCTGTGTGGGCTGGAGGTTTGAGATTGCACCTTGCTACTTCATCTTGACATTTTCCCGTGTTTCCAAATCAGCTGGTTGCGGAGTCCTGGCTATTTCCTGTATTGGCTGCAGGGGACTGCGCTAGGCACCTGGGTTCCTCCAATCCCAGGCTCCTAGGATGGCAGAGAGGTGAGGGATGGCAGCTCACCGATACTACTCTGATGGTAGTGGGCGCTTGGGGTGTGGCTTCTTCTCTTCTCGACCCATGGTGGTAGGCTCATGGCGGGATGGGGGGGTGGTGGGGGGTGTTTGGGGGATGAGATGGTGTTGCACAGCCCTGATGGCAGTGGGACCTTGGGGCCAGGACTCTACATGTTTAAGACAATTTTGTTTAGTTTTTTAAATTAATTAATTAATTAATTTTTAGTACCACGGATCAAACTCATTGACCTTGCACTTACCAGGCAAGTGCTTGAGCTGCTGAGCTAAATCCTTGGCCCCATTAAGACAATTTTATTTTAACCTAAGATTTGTTGTTATAAGTGAATAAAAAGTGGTTTAAGGAATTAAACCACTTTTTTGCTTATTCAAGCAAAAGAAATGTGGAAGGCCTGAAATGCTAGGGCAAGTGTGAACTTGTCACAGGACTGGGAAGGAGGGGCTAAGATAGTCCCAGCTAAGAGATCAAGAGCCAACAGATCCAACTGACCAGCACAAATTAACAAGTAAAAGTATACTGGGGGAAAAAAAACTAAGCGAAAGCTGAATAGGAAAAAAAAAAAAAAGGTTATTCCAAACGTTACCTCAGGAGCATTCAGAAGGAGGTACCCATGAAGAAAACAAACTTTTAAATAGCAGTTAACTTCTCTTAGAATGGTTCCATGATAAACAGAAAGCAAAACAAAAAATGCTCACAAACAGGCTGGCAGAGGGGCTCAGCCCAGTACACTTGAGGCCTGTGTTCTCTTCCCAGCACCGAAAACGAAGCAAAGCGACACAGAAACGTGCTTAAAGGGGCTTGCAGAAGTCCACTAGGTACCTGAAGATGGTTTCTGCAAAGAGTCCTGAAGACTTGTTTACTCCCCAACTGTGGGACAATGGGAAGTACCAGTAAGGGGTCCCTGCCTACACAATAGTCCTCTCAATAAGACCAGGAACTGCACAGGGGAAGGTGGCTGACTGGGAAGGACAGAGGGACATGTGTGTGCCTCCTTCCAGCTCCATTAGACACGGAAGGCACATTAGGGAATCTACTTTGAGAGATCTGCCATGACAGTGTGAAGAGCCCAACTGAGGGTAAAGGTTCCTTTGCTTTCTGTCATTTTAGACAGATGGTTATGGATAATGTTGAGCTCTGAAGCGAAATGCGTATAGATGTATAATATGTATGTATATATAGAGTCCACTATACTAATAAATGTCGAAGATAATGACCACTACTTTGAACATCTCTTGTAATTTTTTTTTTTTTGTACTAGGGATCGAATTCATGGCCTCATGCTTGCCAGACAGATGCTTGTGCTTCTAAGCTAAATCCCTGGCACCTCTTATAATTGTAGAGGCCAAAGGTAATTTGTATTAATCTCATGATATCTCAGCAAATTTAGTATTAAAATACTTATACAAAGGGCTGGAGATTTAGATCAGCAGCACAAGCGCCTACTTGGTAAGCCCAAGGTTGTAAGTTTGATTCCCAGTTGCAAGAAATAAAACAAAATACAGGTTTTTCTTTTCCTGATGTATACATTTTTAGGGGGAGGGTTCTGTATAATATGCAGTCATCCTTTGATATCTAGTTAATTCTAGTATCTCCTCCACACCAAAATTCATGGATACTCAAATTCCTTATTAAAAAATGCTGAAATATTTTCACAGGACCTCCATTATACCTTAAATCATCTTTAGATTAGTTAACTCCCTGATTTAAGATTGAGTTCTTAAGCAAGACAAATTGAGTCTCATACACCTCTGACACAAATACACGCTGTAAAGCATAAAAAAATTCATATGCCCCATGATCTTGTTCTTTAGACTTGCGCCATTGTTTGAATGATTCATGTTAAAAGAACAAGTGACATCTACCTTCTCTTTGCCTTGGCCCAATCTCTCCATTATTTTCACTTTTGTTTCCATGGTTATTGCTTTGCACTTCCTAGCCATCCCCTCCACATCACCAAGGCTTTTCCTCTGACTTCCGGACATCCTGGGCTCTGACTACACACTGTCACACTGTACAGGAAGCGCACAGCAGCACAACTCTGACAATGTCCAGCAGACACGTGAGCTATTCCCATGATTTGTTCAAACTTACAAGTGTTCATAATGCAAGGGACATTCAAATGTTCAGAGGTCAGAGACTTTCCATACTTATAAAACCTAATGCAACATAAATGCTATGTAAACATTTGTTATACCATATTGTTCTATAAAATCCTATATGTTTTTGATCTGTGATTGGTTGAACAACATAAATGCTATGTAAGCAGTTGTCATACCATACTGTTTTGGGAATAAGAAATAAGGAAAAAAAACATATGTATGTGTTTAAATCCAGACACAATCTGTTTTTTCCAATATTTTCGATCTGTGGTGGGTTGAATCTGTGGGTACAGAACCCACAGATAAGAGCTGACTGTATACATATGTAAATATACACACATTATCTTCCACTAAACGCTCAATCACATTGAGAAAAAAGAAATCTAGCTTCACAATCTCAAAAAGAACATTTTCAAAGCATGCAGAAAGTGTAACACACAAAACCAGACTTCTGCAAGAAACAAGCAGGGGCCAAACAGACAGGAGGCACAGACAGCCCGAACCAGGGTTCTTTACCTGCTGCGGCACAGTCTGTGAACTGCTCCCCGATAGTTGCTAACAACAGCTCTTTCCAAACTGTGGACTGATGTGGGAAAGGGTAAAAGTCAAAACAAAAACAAAACACATTTTTTAGACCATTATTTTCAGGAGCCAAACAAGTTACAGCTTTCTCAACTTCACATGCACCTTCCACACTTACATTAAGGAGGACTCAGAAATTTCCACGTCATGGATGTAAACATTTTTAAGAGGGGCATACGCCATGCTGGTTTTCAAATAACTTCACCCAGACAAAACACAGGGATCTAAAGTCTTATGAAAGCTGATTGCTAGTGAAACCCTGATGAAGTTCAGAAGTACTGGGAAAAATTCATTCAAACAATTTATACTTCCCTGATTCTTTAAATTTAAAATGTACCAATTGAGTACATTTGAGTGCTATTTAGTAAAATCCTTCTCTTCTTTTTTCTTACATCAGATAAGGTATTTCAAAGGTTATCCCAGTGGGTGGGGGCACGTAAAGAAATTTATTGTTTACTTAAGTCTAGCACTGCAAAGGTCCACTCACTGGGGACAGTTTGTTGACACTAGGTAGTGGGTTTATGTCTGACTATACACAATTTCCCTGTAATGATTAGCGCTTCCTTGGGTCTGCCTTCTGCCAAGGAGAAACACCAGGGTTTGAGTTCCTTCTGGAGACAACTACTAATGCCATCTAAACAACAGTGAGAATCCACTCACAGGTCACTGGAACTAACAGTGCTCCCAGTTCTTCCCCTGGAAAGCTCTTGGTCCCCCTTATCCTCCATGCCACAGTTCACCTGCTCTGGTGTTTCTCAGAGTTGTTTGGGTTCTGAGATGCTGCTTACTGTTTGTGACCTGTGCAGTATACCAATCTCTTGGAGCACTGGTCTCCTTAAGTAAACAAAAAATAGTAACAGGCTGACCTCACAGGTTCATTGTGTATATGAAATTTGCCAGCGAATACATTCGAAGGACTTAGCACAGTCACTGCAACAAACGTGCTCAACATGTAAGATGGGCCCATAAATAGCTGCTTATGTGCTCAATACACATTAACTATAATAACAGTGTTTATTATTATGCTCTAATGAGCCTACAGCAGCTGTGCTGATCTTTTAACTGAGGCAATGGCAGTTAACTAAGGAGCTGAAAGGTGACTGCTCACCCTCAGAACGGTTTGGTTTGGTTCCTGCTCGCCATACTTGCATTTCATCTATTAGCCTCCCACCTAGAAATCACTTTCATTTTCTATCTGCCCAGCTTTGGCCTTGTCCTCTGTTAGGAGTGGAGAGCAGTCAAACTGCCTGGGACTAGGGCATTTGCACAGACATGAAAACTTTTTTTTTTGGTCTTTTTTTGTCGGTACCGGGGATCGAACTCACGACTGCCTGCTTCCAAGAAGGCAGGCGCTTAGGCCCCTGAGCTAAATCCCCAGGCCCCCAGACATGAAAACTTATTTGTGATGGAATGTGGCCAAGGGAGCTAGAGAGGAAAGACAGAACCAAACTACCTTTCAGCCACTTTTCAATAAATGTTGACATCATGATAGCTTCTGTAATAAACAGCTAACCTAAGTAAAAATATTACAGGCAAGCAGACTGGGCTAGGCCCTCAGGGGAGTCAATACAGAGGATGCAAACACATTACAACTGTGACCAGAGGCACATCCTTTGGAGGCCAGACCTCAAGATAAAGATGAAAGGACCAGGCTACATGCCTCCCAGTGATAAACAATAAATTAACATTAGTCACATCGGTGGGTGACCAAGACACCTGATTTATCTCTTCCTAAAAAAAGTCCTTGTCCTTCCCATGTACTTGCTACACAACCTGCTTCCCCACTGAATCAATATTCCCTAAGTAGCTAAACTTGTCATCTTCTTGGCTGATCACAGTTTTGTCCCCTTTCTCAGGAGCTATCTCTTTCTCAATAAATATTTCCTACTCTTAACTTCCATTGTTCCTTAGAACTCATTCTTTGGTTTTGAGAAACATGAACTCACCATATCTGACATCTAGCAGGTTGGGAGTTACATTTGTCTCCCATATATCACCTCCACCAGAATTCAAAGTCTAGCACAAGTAAATAACATGAACAGGCAAAAAGGCGTTCTCATTGAAATTTAAGCATTCTTGCATTCTCTAACATGTATTCTCCACTCTTTCCTTTTTTAGGAGGGTAGAAGGGTTTCATATTCTGTGCCTGGTGTGTTACTTGTTCCACTGACATTTTTTATTATGTATGCCAAGTACAGTACTAGTCAAATCTTGGAGCCATACTTGGAGGGAGAGGTGGTGGTGGGGGGTGTACCTACAGCCTTAGAACTGAGCGACAGGGTGTTGCTAAATTGCTAAGTTGTGCAGGCTGGGTTCAAACTCATAATCGTCTTGCCTCAGCCTCCCAGAGCTCTAGGATTGTAGGCCTGTGCTACCACTCTCAGCTGGAGCTGCATATTTTGAGTAATAGTTATACTTCTGGCAAACAAATCTGGCCGTAACTTCAGACATGCACCTACAGGGAAATGACACTAGCCCAAGCATATGGATTTGTGGAGACATTTCAATCTTTGAGCTTACCTACATGGGGAAAAAAAAGCCCCACAAAAAATGTGAGACTGAGTAGCATCTGCCCTTTCATCTATTTTCAGTGAAGCTTAGTGGTCTGGCAGGGCTTAAGATAGGCAATTTTAAGGTAGGTTAGAAGAAATAAAGTTAGGTAAAAAAAAGAGGCAAAAAAATCAAACTTTTAAAAATTGTAGTTTTAAAAAAACCTTATGCCATCAAAATACAAGTCTGGTTTGTTTGTTTATTTTTTTCATCCCAAACAGCAAACCTAGACAAGTGCCTTTAAGTTGCAAACAGCTCTGCCCATTCCCTTTTACTTGCAAGTGGTCCTCTTTCACCCATGAAGGGACCACCCCTTTGGCATTTCCCTTGGGAATAGCTCACTAGGGGTGGGCCATCCTCTCCTAGGCTCTAAGACTAAAACTTAGACTATAGGTTATTGACTTCCATAGAGTTCTACCTCAGAAAAACATAAAAGATCCCCAGATCCCAACCATATCATGTCTCATTTCTTTGAGCATCCGCACTCTGCTCTTGAGTGCATCCTGTATGTATTCTAATAAATCTTTCTCCTGCTTCTTTCACTGATGCATTCTGAAAATTCTTTTCCCTTCAGGGCCATAAGTGAACCTGTGTTTAATTTGAAGGAGTGGATAAATTCTTTATTTCAGCCATGGGACCCTCAGACCCAGCCCCTGACAACTTCATTTTCAGGGAGTATGATGGATTAGAGTCCACGCCTGCAAAATATGGGTGCAGCCTCTGCTGAAACCCAAAGAATTGGTGAGACCCCGAGGCCTCCCATTTTCCTTCCCATAGTCACTGAAGTGCTTCTGCCTTTCAGTGAAAGAAAAAAGAGCTGTTTAGAGGAAGGACTTTCTTCCTTCCATGGAAACCAACTTCAGTATGTTAGTTATGGCTGGTGAGGAAAAGACTGCCATAAAGACTATCAACTTTACTGTGAAGTTCACGTAGAGTGATCAAAAAATAAAGTGACCATTTACATTTTTAAAAATCATTACAGTAAAAGAAACACTGCCATTAATTCCCCTGAAAATATTCCTCATTTGAACATACTTAATTTATCATTCTTGCCGCTTTCTAAAGCAGTTCTGGAGGTGCTCTTTCATGAGAGTTTTTACAAAATGAAACAAAAAAGTGTGGTGAAGGCTATTGCTGAATGTCATCCAATGGAAAAGCAGGCTCATAAAACCACTATGGTGTGTCCTCATCTATCTTTCCCATTGATCTGGCACCGTGAGACTTCTGGCTTTCTCAAAGTCAAAATGACCAAAGGAAGTAAGTACTGAATCAGTTCAGGACACGGAGGCAGCCAAAACAGTGCAACTAAAGACACTCCCCAAAGACACTTCCAGAACTGCTTCAAAAAGAGACGAGAATGAGAGATAAGTGTGTTTAAAGTGTGTGGTGTGTGTGTGTTTGTGTTTGAGGGGGGGTTATGGGACTGTCATTTACTGTAAAAAAATGTTAAAAATTTTAAACACACTGTATTCTTTGATCCCTCCCCATACAGGCATTCAGCCCATACAGATGACATGATACAATGACACCATCACACCATCTCTATAGAGAACATGATACTACATTTTCAAGGTGACAAGTGTAAGGCAGAATAAGGTTAGAAGCGAATTTGTCAGCAGCCCGGTGTGGTGGCTCATGCCTGTAATCCCAGCACTTGGGAGGCTGAGGCAGGAGGATCGTTGCGAGTTTGAGACCAGCCTGGGCTACAAAGTGAGCCCAAGGCCATTCTGAACTGTATAGCGAGACCCTGTCTCAAAAAGACAAAAAAAAAAAAAAAAAAAAAGCAGCAAATTTGTCACCCTAGGTTTGGTGAGACATTTCCAGGCAGGTTCTCTGAAAAGCACAAAATGCTCAGGGCATACAGTCAACAGCAACCCCCAGCTCAGCCAGTCAACGGGAACAGAACAAACCTTACCGTGCTGTCCTTGGGGACTTTCATCTTCCACACACCACCCTTTGCATTACTCTCCTCTTCCCTGTATCAGAGACCAATATTTAAAGTTACACTCAGTGACGAGCTAGTTCTGGATACATTTAGGTTAACTATTTGTGTGTGTGTGTGTGTGTGTTTAGTTTAATAATAGATAATCTTAAAAACAAAAACAAACAGACACTTTTCAGTTAATACCCCTCACCCCACTTTCTGATTGGGAACAGAAGCAGACGAAAGAAAAAGGACGGAGACGGGATAGAAGGAGATGATGAAGGCAAGGACGGGGGTGACAGGACCTAGGCACTTATTCTCAAGCAGATGGTGTGGAGAGGCTCCTGGGGTTCTCCAGAGACGGACAATTAATGTAACTTCTTCTCAGATGTAAAGATCTTTACATTTCAAATCATGTTCATCTCATATCAACCAGGTGTTCTTGTGGTAGACAGTACTACATTTCCCTGCTTAATATCTGCTTATTAATAGCAACCAACCTTCCCTTTAGGCAGCCAGTTGCCTTATGCTTTTATGTGAGACCCACTCATAGAGATGAGTGTTGATTCCTCATCCTGGCTTTAAAGATGGGCTATGATGCAGGTTTGCCTAAGAGAATCCTGTTCGTACTAGTCTTTGTGGTTGGCCAGCAATGGCCCATGACAGTTGGCCCTGAGGCTTTATTGTGGCTGGTGATGCTGACACTGCTAAATTTGAAGTTGGTGAGACTGAAGTTCATGATGGCTACTGGACACCACAAAAGGGAGAACCTGCCTGAAATTTAGCCAACACAGAGGAGGGCAAATAAAAAGATGGCGGATTTCAGGGTCCTGATAACATCTGCAAAGCTGGTCATCAGTCCTATCAGTGGGCTTCTCAGTTATGAGTTCCAAAATATTCTGGCTTTTGCTCATTTTTGGTTTCTGCCACTTGTTATAATATGAAATGAGATATATTTCTTTTTTTGTTAGCAAGCAAATGACTCAGAAATGTTAAAAGACGTGACATAAAGATTGGGCAGTCTACTGTCCAATGCCATCACCACTATTCCAAGTTCACGTTCCCACAGGCCTTGGCCCCTTGTAATCATTGGTGGACTCTCTGTGGGCTCACTGAAAGACTTTCGCAGGTGAAAAGACCTCTCATGGGGTTCACAACCACGCCCCTCCCAACCTGACTTTGCATTCCACATCAGACACTTACCAGAGTGGTCGCCTCTCTCCTCTCATTAAATGGTAACTACATCTCACAGGCAGGCTAGTCACAGGAGGGATATTATTGTACACACTCCAGAATATCTTTAAAAGAAAAACATTCCATTTAATATATTCAATAGTGATTTCCTTTGTTACTAGATAATAACTAATTAAAGAAAAAGTTCATTCTCATTAAGTTCTACCTATTCAATAGATTTCTCTCAGTGTTTTTTTTTTTTTTTTTTTGTAACTTTCGAATAGAAAACATAACATTAAAGAATTTTCCTCACTGATGTTGGGCCAGCCAAGTTCTATTTTCTTTTAGAGAGAAATGGCTATTAAGCATGTATTCCTATTCAATATGTGTATGTGTAAGACTGCAAAGTGCTGGGTATGGTGGTGTATACCGAGAATCTCCGCGTTCTTGGAGGCTGAGGTAGGAAGATTGCAAGTTTAAGCCTCAGCCTTGGCAGCCTAGAAACTCAGTGAGATCTATTCCAAAATAAATAGTAAAAAGGAGTTGGGGACACAGCTCAGTGCAAAGACCCTTGCTTCAATCCTCAAACCAAAACTAACAAACTAAACAAACCTGGAAAGATAAAGTACAACGGCTGGACTAAACTTTGCAAAATCATATTGCATTGGGGATTTTTGTTAAATAAACAGTTTTAACTGCTCTTGTCACTAAAATGCAATCATGGGAGATGATAGATATGTTAATGTTTCACCGTAGTACCATTTGACTATTTACATGTATTCCATGACACCACACTGAATATATAGAATATACACCTCAAATATATAGAATATAATTTATTTTTTAAAACAACAAGTATTAACTGACCCAGGAACTATGTACATTTTTCCTAGCAAATGTTTAATTTTAATTTATGTGGAAATCAGAAACTTTTAATAGCTTTGAAGATTTTATTTGAAAAAATTAGGAAGGGAACACGTTATATTATATATTTGACACAGTTTGGTGACACATTAAGATCCTCAACAGTTCAATAATAACTGCATTGTCAATAGTATTCTATTGTAAATAAATTCACTCTGTCCTGGAACTAGAAAAGATCTTGCTAATTGATGGTTTCCCTGACAGACTGATGGTATCCACTGCACAGTACTGCAGAGTTGTACTGGGCCATATTTCCCCCCTTTTTGGGCCATAGTTCCTTATAACACTCTTCTAGGAAGAAATCTGTGATGGCTGGGGGCTGAAGGCGTTCAGGAGGGGGAAGAACTACGTTAGGCTCTGATCTCATTCTCTTTCCCTCTCAGAAGAAACCGGGGACAGCTCAGCTGCAGGGTGAGGTGACTTCACATCTGTCTTGCAGAACTTGGATGTTGAAGCTCCACCATATTGCAATGGTACTAGAGTCAGTGCCCTTAGGAGATAACTGGGACATGATGGTGGAGCTCTAAGGAGGGTGTGAGCATCCTTATGAGAGGAAGACTGCCAGCTGTCTACCAAGGAAAAACACAAGCTCCCCACTGTATGTGCACAAGGAAGAGGGTCTCACCTGTCCCTGAATGGCTGGCACTCTGACCCTGGACTTCCAGCCTCCAGAACTATCAGAAACACAGGTTTGCTGCTTAAGCCCTCTGATCTGTGGTGTTCTGTAATAGTAACTGAACTCACTAAGACACATAGTAACTACAAACAGAAATGGATTGTATAAAATAATACAGTAGTAACAATAGAGACAGTAATAGTAACAGCAAGGACAGGTGACATACTGAGCTGTTGTGTGCCAGGTCTTGGTCTATTTTACATATTTATGTAATTTATTCTAGTGCTAATCTTATAAGGGTTATTGCCTTATTTCAGAGATAGGGAAACAGAGATATACATTACTCAAAACCACTGTTTCCTATGACCAGTGGGATTAGGACAAAGACTGAGGTTTTGAAGAAGAAAATGCCCCTCTTCATTTAGACGCAGCCACAGAATTACTGCAGTATGGATCCTAGGCAGCACATTATGTGCAAACGAGAAATACTGTTCTGTGTAGTAAGGTGAATATTCTAGGAAGTCTGACGAAACAGTGCAGGTAACAGAGTAGTTATAGCAGTGAATCCTTGGGCCCCATGAATTAAGTGGCAAAGGTAGAATGGAGTTTTCTTTATGTTAAATGATCATCGTAGTGGGTTGGTCAAGCTTGTTTTGTGTAAAAATACAATAAAGTTGAATTAATTGCAAAGGTGAAATGGATGCAAAGAAAATTAGAAGGAAAAAAAAGCCCATGGTGGTAGCTTTATAATTGAGAACCCACTTTGTATTTTTTCTGCTAAAATGATGCTAACATGGGAACAGAAAGGAGCCTGGTAGTAAAAAAAGGATCCAATCGTCAGATGTCTGTCTTTATGCAGGTATCTATCCTATAAATGCTGTGATACTAGTGCAGATAATAAATTAACTATTATTTCAGGTTCCATCTGTGGTGTGAGTGAATCAGGTACTCAAATTCTAAAATCCCTATTTTCTAAATGACTAAGCTGTTTTTGATCATGACAATACCACATGACAATACTGTGTTGGAAGTATCCTTGTCCAATTTAGGAAGCACTGGACACCTGTGGAAGACGTTTGCTTCCCAGTGAAATGTCCTTAACTGGAGTCTGGTGACTATCTTCCCTCCAAATTGGGACACTAATGTTGCAATGACTTCTGCTGAATTTAAGAATAAAATGATACTAAATGAAAAGCCCTCTGTAAAGGAAATCCAAGAGGATTCTGTGTTGGCAAATTTTGAATCTGAATGGCATCCCAAACCAAAGCTCTGCTCTCACACCCCTACTTTTCGCCTCCTGCTTCGATTACCTTGAGAATGTAACAGTAAATGCTTCTCATTGCCAAGTTCATGACAACCCTAAGAACCCTACTAAGAGCTATAACCTTCCAAGCTTCTCTAGAAAACAAAATCAAAAATAGATAACTGATACTGTTTGTCTAGGCAAATCTGACTGGAAGAGACTGAAGCCCAACCAGAGACCATAAGAGATTCGATTCTCATGGCATATTTATTAAAGCAGCTACTTGCACATTTGTGTGTGAACAAATGGGAGCAAAACATCTGCTGACATCACTGAGAGAATCACATTCAAAAGTGCGGGGCCCTGAATGTGTCTGCCTCCCTGTTCCAAAGCTCATTTAAGAAGTAGAATATTGGTTAGATACGTCTGACACTGAAGTAGCTGGAGGACAGAACCAGACACTACTGGGTTTCTGGAGCCTACTTTTTCCACTGTGGAACAGAAAGGGCCACAACTATGGAATCCTGTGAATCCACAAATATACTTTCTGTAACACATTTTAAAAATCTGAACACCATCCAGGTGCATACCTGTAATCCTAGCACTCTGGGAGGCTGGGGGAGGAAGATCACTAGTTCAAGAGCAGCCTGGGCAACTTAACAACTGAGACCTTTTCACAAAATAAAAAAGGGCTAGAAATGAAGCTCAGTTGAAGGTCCTGGGATCAACTGCCAGTACTGCCCCTCCCTTGCCCCCAAAATTGAAATAACTGTATCTTCTAGAGATTAGACCTTGCAATGAAATTTCAAAAGTCATCAAGCTTATAATTAATTCTATTCAGCCTGAAATAAATATTGCAGTAAAAATAAAACCAGGCACAATGTTTATGAGAGCTATGCTCTTTTTTCAATGTTTTAATGATACCCAAGCTCAGTAAGTGTAAAAGTTGGGCATCATACACTTGGTCAATGTTAGTGGACACAAGCTGTGTGCACCATACTCCATCTTGGGGAACTGACTGACCAGGAGAGACAGCCCTTGACCACAGGGGTCCACTTGTTGGCTGTAAATTCTCTAACATCATTCTGGTCCTCTAACTGAGCACCCAAATGCTTACCCAGTGGATTTTTAGGATAATCTTAACTGGTCACAAGCTCTTAAAATCCAAGTTGCTTCCCCTGTATAAGGAGTATCATAAAGTGACCTCATTGTATGATTTAATGCCTAAATGTAAAGTGGAAGCATGTGCCTAAGAAAGCAAGCAAAGTGTGGTCATACTCATTAAATATGGTGACCACTCTTGATACACTCCCAATTTTCTAGCTCAGATTAGGGCAATTATACCCCATCTGATAAGCTTCTGCCAAAGAGATAATCATTCGTTATTAGGAAAAATAGTGTCCCTCCTCCTCGATTTCCCACTGGACTATTCTAAGGAAAAGAAAAAGTTCACATTTTCTTCCAAAAGTTGCAGCATGTACAGAGGAGAGTATTGGCGGGATCCTAAACTCATTAGGTATTTCCACTTGCCAAGGGTTTCCCTCTAGCTGGATCAATGATATTCCTAGAGAATAGACAGGTATCAGAACAGAGAGGGATACTGAAGGCTTAATGGGTGTTTTCAACTCGCAGCAGGCACAAAGACTGGAAACAGAGTTTCTAATGGGTAAGAACTAGGTAGTTCAGAGAAAAGCGGGTTTTGCTTTGAATTCCAAGAGTATGTCTTACTCTGAAATGGGGAGTTAAAAGTTTGGAGAGGACAGAGAGGTTCAAACTTGAGAGGGTGGGAAGACAGGTCCTCTCCAGAAGAGGAAGGGGGAACCCAGGGCAGAACACAGCATACCCTGCTTCCAAGGAAGGAACAGCCTACAGGGCCTCAAGACTCCTAAAGCTCATTTCTGCAGTGTGAGCATTGAGGCAGGTCAGAGAAGCGCTGGGAAAGTAAGTTATATTTGCAGGGGTGGGGGGCTGCTGCAGCCTTGCAGTTCCTCCTGCTCTGGTGGGGCACAGAGAAGGCAGCAACACTGCCTGTATCTTCAGCCTGGAGCATGGAATTGCTAGAAAGGCCTGGGGTCTGTACAGGGGTGTACACAGCAGAGACCTTCAAGACTGAAGCCACAGCAGTGTTGAATCAGGTGGGCAGTACAAAGTCAACAGTCACAGGGGATTAGGTGTATCTCTGCACCTGTCAGTTCATGAAGAGAAGGGCAACAGGGCAAACACTGCCCAAAGACTTAACCTTGCAAGAGATGAAGTTTTACATTTGAAGTAACTAAATTACCTGAAATTTGCAAGTCCTCCTCCCCATCCCAATACACACATAGCCCCTGATGCTGTGAGCAAACCTACAGGAACACAGGCAACCTGATGTCACTTTTATTTCTGCATAACTGGGTTGTGATCACAGACACTAATCCTATTATACAAGCAATGAATAAATAAAACATGAATAAAGAATCCTGTTACACTGGATATTAAATTTGCACTAGACACAGCTATGAAGCAAACCTGGCTTTAGGTCTCTTTTTCTCTCCCTCTTACTATCTCTGACCCTTCGTCATTAGTGCCAGTATCTTTTCCCACATGTGCTTTCTTTTACCCCAGGGACTCCCTCTAGGTCCTTTCATGACAGGATGCCCATGCCATGGCTATCCTGCTGTGTCCATGGCAGGAAGCCTATTGAATCAATCTTTCCATCATTCTCTATTATCAACAGTGACCTACAAACCTCTGCTTCTCAAAGCATAAGCCTCACTCCTCAAGTGTCTGAGCATCAATCTGCTGCTCTAACTTAATGACCCTAACGTGCTGACAGCAGAAGTCTTGGTGTTATTGGCTGTACGTATGGTGATGTTACTCTCTTCACTTTAATAGATTATATGTACTATTTATGAAGATTTTCTAGCTCTGATGAATGATACTGAAATTCTATTTATAAAAAACATGAAGTTTCTATTGTTTGAATTTAAGTGAAACATCAATTTATGAGCTATATCCTGTCAAACACAGTATAAGTGAGACAAGTATGGCAAATCTTGAAATTGATAACACAACTTGCTGAGGATTGAGACAGAATGCTATACAGGAATGCATTTGCAAGAGTGAAACTTTCAGTCTTGTGGCTGGCAAAATGGACCTGGGGACAAGAGGCCCTCCTGTGCAAATCACCTCTGGCAGGCAGCTCCACATTCTCCCACAGCAATGCCTGGGCATGTTCAGAAGTCATGTTCTTTTCAGTGCTGCATCCACAGGGGATGTACAGACACTAGAAAAATGTGCAACGTGTACATGTTCAAAAGACGGGAAGAATCAGTAAGTGTATCTGTAAAACATGTTAAAATGAAAAAAGAAATTTCCAAGAAAGATGGGAAAGGAGGAAATAACTCTATCCAGACAGAGTTAGCCTTACTGCTGGCTGCAATGAGTGTCCTCAGCAGGGGTCACTGGGTCCTGTGGAGGCCTGGCCTCCTGAACTCTTCAGTCATGGGAGTCAAAGAAAGAGGCATGGACCAAAGTGGAGGAAATTCCAGCCCTGGAGGCAGTTTCCACTGGATGTTTGTGCTGCTCACCCACCAGCCTCAGTCTCCCCAGCTAATGCCCAGGAACAACAATTCTTCCTCCTTTCCATGACTGAGATTTGCAGAAGGGCCTCAGAGTACAAAATAACGTACTATGTCTTAATGTAGAACACTCATTAATAACCCATGACTCCTACATTTCACTGAATCATATAGGGGGAAAACAGAAACAGGAATAGGGAGGTAGGTTTCAGTGTAGTCAGAGTGACAGAGCATTAACTGTCATCAACAATCACAGAATAAAAAGACAGGTGGGACAAGGGCGTCTTCAGATGACTTTCAAGTAAGCAGTTCAGCTAGTTCTTAAGTACTAAGGACCACTGCAGAGATGTTAAAGACACTCACAGAATGAACTCCCAAAAGTTATGAATAAGTTAAATATGTTTTCATAAGTAGAGGAACTAGTAATTGATACAGGGCATAAAGTGCTTGAAATTAATAGACATAAATAAACTAGAAGCAGCGGTATATAGTTTTCCTGCATAAAACATGACTGAGGCAAGTATGAAAAGATGCCCCAAAGAAAGAAAAAATGATGGCAGGTGAGATTATTGCTATTACTGGGCATTTACTGTGTTTTTTACTTCAATGTACGAGTTCATTCTCACAACAGCTTGATAAAAATCTCTACTATGATTATGCCCATTTTATAGGTTAGTGAACTGAGACACAGGTTAAATAACTTGTGTGAGCTACTAAGTACTGCACATTATGGGATATGAATGCGGACAGCGTGACCACCAGACACTCCAGCCCACACCCTCACCAGTCAGCTGCTGGATCCAAGGGACAGAGTCCAGTAACAACACATGAGGGCTTACCAAGTGCCGAGCCTTACAGGAAACTGTATACCATCTCATCTAGCCTTGCTCAACCTTATGAAGTAAACATGATTATTATCTCAGTTTCACAGATGAGGAAACTGGAGTAAACAGAGACATCGGTCCCCAGAAGGAACTTCCCGGTCACTTACAGCAGTGTTTCCCAGCCTATTTTCTTGTCATCCTACCCCTGCAGCTGACCTAAAGACCCTTTTTGCGTAAATTTTAGGAAATTTTAAAGCCACATGGGAGTGTGTAATCATTTGCATACCACATATATATCTATGCTTTCTACATAAAAACAGTAAGATTTCCTTACCGACTTCCTAAGAACCAAATTTTGTCCCTACTGAAAATGCGTAACACACAAGTGAATGGATCTTTTTGTGAACAATCTGCTACGATCCAGGAAAAGTGTTTCATTTATGTATGTCTCATGTATTCAGTCCTTCAATATGCACTGGGTGAAAGAACAGACACAAAAGGATCTAATACTATGTGATTCCATTTATCTGAAGTTCAGTATCAGACAAAAGGCTGTAGGAATCAGAACAGTGACAGCACCTGCAGGAGGGGAACTGATGGGAAATGAGTACAAGAAAATTTCTGGCATGACTGTTTTTAATCTTGATTTAGGTGATGGCTACATATATATATTTCTTTGTCAAAATTTGCACTTGAGAAATATACATCTACTGTTTGTGCAAATTATATCCCTACAAAATGTAGTTTTGTTTTTGTATTTTTGTTTTGTTTTGTTTGGTACCTGGGGACTGAACCCAGGGCCTTACACGTATTAGGGAAGGGCTATGTCACTGAGCTACACCCCTAAAGTTTGATTTAAGGAAGGTGTTTTTTACATGGGCCAGCCAGGGGAATTTAAATTGTTCCCTAAAGATCTTAATGTGTTGCTGGATCCAAACCCCAAACAAATGCTCTGTGTTACATACAGGGTCAGGAAAAATGAGCCAAAATGAGCTTATCTGACTTTTCTGATATCTGTGCTTGATTCCATCCTCTGTTCTTGGGATCTAATTGTTGTAAGACAGTGGAAAAGCCTATTGAGTCCCCAAATGACCAACAGGATCAAACAATTTCCACTTAAGGAGAGACTAAAATCAAGGCCTCTAAAGTTTAGAAGATGATTGCTGGGAAGGGGCAACAATGTCCTTAAATTCACGGAGAGGGAAAAGAGGGGGAAGCCTTCTCAGACTATGAAGGCATTGATTTGTCTTGACACCAGCCCATGTGCTGCCCCGTAACACTGCTCATATTTGGCACTGAATGACTCTTTACAGAAGGGCTGTTATTTTCACATCCTTATGTCATTTTCCCAACTAGATAGGAAATGGCCTGAGGATGGGATGTCTTTACACCAGCTCACTGCCCTCAGTGGCCATACATAGTACCTTATGAACAGATCCCTGCACAGCTGCAAAAGTATAATTTTTAAACCATAAGTTGGCAAAAGGATTTGAAAAAGGGATCTACATGCTATTTCTGCAAGGAAGAACCTGCCTAAAGGATACAATACAGATGCTAATCTACTGGAATTTCTAAGACATTACAAGATTTAGCAGCACAAAAAGAAAATTATTTATGATCTGTGCCTTCTAGGAAATACAGGATGTGAGGGCAGAGCAACTCTGAGCTGCTTTTGTCACAAGTCTCATCATATCTGCAGTAACATGTCACCCCAGAAGAGAAGAGAAGCCTCATGGGATTTGCTTGTGGGGAAACTGGAAATCGGGTCAGTTAAACACATTAGTTGTTTGAAAACACCTTCAGAGTGGGAAACCTACAGAACTGAAAACTTACACATGCTCAGCACCTGCTAGCTGTCAGGTGCTCTGCCACACACAGTGTAAACGCTGTGTCATTCCATCCCTGTGGCCACCATGGAGGTAGGTGGTAATATTATACCAATTTTACAGAGATTAAAAAGGTTAATAAGTAACTAATTTAGAGCAGTGGTATTGGAAAGTAAAGCATTTTCATGATTTCCGTATGTATCCCTCCAGCAACCCTACAGGTGGGTGTTCTGCCTTGCCCAAATAGGGCAAAGAGGTGCAGATGTGGGTGGCAGAGCTGGGACTGACACAGGCACAGGCATGAACAACATTCACAATGTCCACTTTTAGTCACAGCCTGCTTCTTGTGTAGATTTACAGAACACTTAGGTAATGAGGTCCTAGCAGGTGCCACAAAAAGAGCAGGCCACTTGTGCTGTGACTTGGCCAAGGACGGCTGCACCAAAATGGGTCTGAGACCCAGATTCAGACCAAAAGCCCTGGCAAAGGCCGCCAGTTCTCAAAGGGGACAACTCAATGGCCAACGTGACCCATGTCCCCCTCTAGACCGCTTTCTGGATCTTACCTGCACTGTTTGCACTGTGTAGATTTTCTTCAGATTTGAGGCACACTCAGCTGCTGTGGCACCAGGGTGAGATCTAAGAAAACATCCACAGAAGAACAAAGATGCAAACAGAAACAGTCAATGGTTCATAAGACATTCAACAACAGGACCTTGTAGATCTTAGTAAAGCTCAGCTCTAAGAGCAGAGAACTGGACATTTAGGGAATGCTAGTTAGAACTCAGAGGATGAAACTGCTACTGAGTGAGGTGTTAAGCTTGCTTCTCCTACAAATCAACTCATATTCTCTGGAAACTTAATAGAAGAAAGGAAAAGCAAAAGAGGTATTGAAAATCTTAAAACCACATTGTGAAAAAAATGCTAAAATAATAGTAATGAAACATTTTACATAGGGCTTTAAATAAAAACTAGCAATGACAATGAAAAGTCGGTGTCCTACTATAGTGATATGTTTGAAAACTTGTCAACAGTCTTGTGGTCAATATTCACATTCTTGAGAAACAGAATGACCATTTATCTCCTCCTTTAAGGAAATATCACTAAAAAAATCAACTTTGTTCCCCCCCACCCAATTTTTTTTTTTTTTTTTTTTTTTTTTTGTTGGTACTGGGGACTGAGCTCATGACAGCGCACTTGCCAACTTGCCAGGCAGGTGCTTATGCCGCTGAGCTAAACCTCCGGCTCTCTTCCCAAATCTGAATGTGTTTCCCACACACTTTTCTTTAGAAAATCTTTCAGTTACCCTCTGTTGCTGATTAAATGAGCTCTGTAGAACTATATCGTCAGAGCACATTAACTTTAAATTTGCTATGTGTTCCACTAGATGGCAACATACTACAGAATTATTCACTAGAAAATTCTCAGCTTTGTAGCTGGTTTTATCAAGCACTATTCCTGGGGTTGTGGATAAAACAATCTAATCTCACTGATTTTTAGATGCTAAAACTTAATTCCTGGCACCATTTCCTATTCACTATCACCAACATGGCAGTTTGTGCTCAAGAGTTGAGGTCCTGTTACATTAAGTCCAAGATGATATTTTACCACACAGTGCTCAAAAGCCCAGCCTTGGTTGCTGATGAGAAATAAGAGGACTGTTGCAAGGAGAAAGCACCATGCTCACAGCTGACCTACAATCTATGAAAGGAATGAATGTTCTGATCTTTACCAACCATCACTACCCACAAGCATGTCCCTAGGCATCCTCAACATGTATTTTCTTGATAGCTGTTTAAATGATTGCACACAAAAGATGTGTGCAAAACACACATCAGCTCAGCAGTAGAGGGAAGAGCAATGAAAAATGCCTCGGTGGAGTGAGCATAAAAATGCAATTATCTTTCTGTATCTCTGCCTATGCCCTTCTCAAGGATATGGCTAAGTGTGCGGTGGTAGAGGAAAGAATGATAGACAGAAATGGTAGGTAGATCCATGGAGGTACAGATAGTCTACAAGAGGGAGAGAACAGTGTGTCACAAGACCTACTGTATGTGACCACCACTGCTGACAGTGACAGCTCATGTTTTTCCTACAAACTACATTCTACAAACTACATTCTTGGAACAAAAGACCATAAAGACCACCATTTTTGTTGAATCTTTTTTTTTTTTCCCCAGGGCCTTGTGCTTGCCAGGCAGGCTCTGTGTCACTGAGTTACATCTCCAGCCTTAGAATCTCATTTTAAACACCAGTGTATGTCCATGTGATTTTCTTATTAGTTTTTCTAAGTGTAGCAGGGTAGGGAAATTACACACACACACACACACACAAAACTGATAGGATCATGCCTAGTATTAGCTCTATCTTAAAAGGCTAACATCTTATATTATAGATGTATTTTGTTTGTTTCTGCGTGGTACTGGAGATTGTACTTAGAGCCTTCACACTGAACAACACCCCATCCTTTAAAATTTTTTTTTATACTGAGACAGGGTCTTACTAAGTCTCCTAGGCTGGGAATGGTCCCCATGCCTCAACACCCTAGAGTGCTAGAATTTCAGGCACATACTACTTCACCTAGTTTCTTGATTTCTTCATGGAGGAGGTTGGATTGTATGATCTTAAAGGTTCTTTCCAGTTGCTTGTTTTTGTCAGACTACACTGATTCATTTGCTCAGGCTAAAGCATAGTGTTCTGTGCCTAAAAAACATCAGCAGTTCTAACCTCCATGCCCAAAGCCCAAACTCAGGTTTCCTTAACAAGTGAAACTGGGAAGATCTAGAATCTATTTTAAAGGGCGAACAAGTTAAGACTTGCAAAGGATCTACCCTGAGAACAAGTCAGTCCGTACTAGACCTACTGGTTCAGTGTTAAAACAAAAGACATATTAACTATTCTTGCTTTGTTTTTTTTAAAGCATACCAGAAGATTGAACAGTACCATTTTTTGTATTTTTTAATTTTGAGATGAGGTCTTGATACATTCTCAGGCTGGATGCCCCTCCTTCAGCTGTTGGGGATATGCTGGAGACCATTCTGTACAAAACCCTTGAGCCCATGGAGTTTATGCTCTAGAACTCTCAACCCTTTCTGAGTTTCTCAGGCTTTTGAAGTCAAAGAAACAATGCCTAGATCTTTGTTATTTGCTTAAATGATAAGAGGTAGGAAAGAAGGCTCAGAGAGATGGGAAAAGAAATGGGAAATTGAGGCTTCTTGTTACTGAGGATGCATTCTCTCTAATTCTTACAACAAGCATGTCATGTTGATATCATCTCCACTTCACAAATTAGGAAACTGAGGCTTAGCAAGCTTTTTTTTTAAGCAACAGATCTGGATTCCTCTTTGCCTCTCTGGCTCTGATGCCCATGACCTTCCTCTTAGACTAGATTTCCTCCCAGGAAAAACATGAGCTGTCACTGTCAGCAGTGGTGGTCACATACAGTAGGTCTTGTGACACACTGTTCTCTCCCTCTTGTAGACTATCTGTACCTCCATGGATCTACCTACCATTTCTGTCTATCATTCTTTCCTCTACCACCGCACACTTAGCCATATCCTTGAGAAGGGCATAGGCAGAGATACAGAAAGATAATTGCATCAAACAAAGGCCACTGATGGACTCAAGCAAGAAACCAGGAAAATTAATAGAATGGGCTCTGAAATCAACAGACTTCAGTTCAAGTCCAGATCTACCACCTACCAGCTGTGTGCCAAGCCTGATCTTTTCTGATACCTGCTTCTTTAGAAACAAGGTTCAAGATCTCTCCCCATTATTTTACTGGTAAATAAAACAATGATTTATACAGTACATCTCATTGCATCTAGTAGACAACTGCTGATGATGTCACTATCATAGTTGAGATGGACAGAAAAAAAAAAAGGATACAGCTAAGAAAGCCAAGAGCACTACAAGAGATACCAATGAGGTTTCCAATGTATGGGAGAGTCAAGAGTCACACTTAGAGCTTAGCACCTCCTATATCCACCCTCAGAAAAGAATGCCCATCAGGCACCAGTGTTGGGTCTACAGCCACAGCAAGAGTGAAGGCTGTTTCCCTTTGCGTTTGGCCAATTTGGAAACTGCCAGTTAAAGCAAAAGTGGGAAAGGACCTAAGATCTCCCAAATAGATGATTAATATAATGTGTTAGGGAGCTGTTCATATTATTTAAACCAAAGTTCCCTACTCTAGTTTTACATTACTCCTGTGTCTCCAACTTAGCAGAATAATAGGGAATATACCTTAAAAGTCTCTATGTAAAACTGGTGAATATATCTTTTTATTGGAAAAGTCAAGGCAGAAATCTAATAAGGTTTCACCTCCCCTCCCTGGTAAGCAGTGGCAGTGTGGCAGACTGTGCGGTAGAACCACCAGCAGCTCCTGAGATCCGCGCCATGTTGGAACTTAGGACACTGGGAAGCCAAGCACGCACCTCCCCTCCCTGGTAAGCGGTGGCGGTGTGACAGACTGTAGCCCTTCCAGGGGCAGAACCACCAGCAGCTCCTGAGATCCGCGCCATGTTGGAACTTAGGATGCTGTGAAACCAAACAACCAGCCTGCCTCCCTGCTAAGTAATAGTGAACCTACTGATGCACGGCCTAGAGTCAAACATCCCACTTCCCCTATCCCCCTTTTCCTGTTCCCCCGTTAGCAAATGGGAACCAGAAATCTGAGCATCTTCTGGGAGGTTGACCATAGCAAATAAGGGGACTTCCTTCTACCATCTCTTTGAAGGCAAATATTTTTATTACTGTTTTGCTCTATTCTGATTAATGGTACTGCTCTATTCAACATTCTGTTTTGATAAGTTCTATAATATTCCGTATTTCATCTCATTTTGATATACGTGATTGAAAGAACAACTATTAAAAAGATAACGAAATGTACTGTGATACCTATTACTGTTATCCCGGTAACCTGCTGTGAAGTTCTGTACCAATTTCACTGTACGATCTTAGTTGGTTTTATTCTGTTTTGTTCTGTTGTATTTTACCACTTTCAAAATAAAATTTAAAAAAAAAAGAAATCTAATAAGGCTGGACCAACTGTTCTACTTACATAGTTTCCAGTCATCTATGCACCACTTACACACAAAAACTTAGCATGTTATTACAAACCATGTTTATTTACTCTTTAAAGTAGGTCTTGGAGAATCTTCACGAGGTAAAACTCTTAGCTAATTTATGCCTGAAGGGCTTAAAAGAATTTTATCCTCTTTCTTATTTAGGAAATACTGAGTTGCAAAAGCTACATGTCCTATTGTGTGTGGACATAATATCTCATTTCACCATTTATTTGCAGATAAGAAAATAGCCTGAGGGTGGTACAGTAACTTATCCAAAGATGCACAGTTGGCCAATAGCAGAGCTAACAATCTGGGTCTTAATAACAAGGTTAAACAAAACACTTTCAACACAAGCAATACTCTGCTTGGTACCATGAACACACTCTGCACCCAATATGGTCCCACCTGTCTAGCACCTTGCAAACTTCAATTCAAATTTTCCAAATTCACCCTCCCTATTAAGACCTACTTTTAAAGATGCCATTGTTGTGGCCTTGGCTCATTAACAAAATTCATGGAGTCAGGCCTTGGAAAATGCCTTAGGAAACTATCTTTTCCTGACCAGAACTTAGC